ATTTGAAAAATATAAAAAATATAGAATGGAATGGATAAACAGATATATATAGGGAAATAGGACTAAGCCCATAGGCTTGGGACGTGTGGGCTTAGAGGGCATGACTGTAAAGGAGACCAGGACAGGCACCTACAGTCATAAAGGTCATTCACTCCTCAACTGCCCCACAAATGTAATCTCCAGATTCCCACGCCCCAGCTTAGTGGATAAGGTTACTGCTTAATTAGTGAATTTTCTCTCGTGGATTGTGTATTCAACCCCATACAATCCCTTTCCCCATTCCCGTAGCACTACAATCTGTACTAATTGTCTTATTTCCAAAAATGAAGAAAAGAAAAAAAGGATGTAGTCTCTGGCTAACTGCTGATGCGAGGAAGAAATAGAAATCCAACTGCTCGCCGTAAAAACTGAAAAAAGGACTGTGGGAAATCTCTTCCTACACCCGACCGGCATTCGTATGCTCCCATTAATGGAGTCAATGAGTTTCTTTCTTATATAAATTGGGCTCTGTGCACTGTGCACTGTGCCGAGGTTCCTGGTCCTGCTGGAGGTTTCAGAGCTGGTGGTTGGTTCGATGATTGGCCTTAAAATTTATCTATGGGTTTGTTGTGGATTTCGACAGAAGTGGAGGGATTCGTTGATCAGTCAAAGCTACTCTACATTAGGAAAGTGACAGGGTCGACGACGTCTGTCCTGGGTTGTTTGTCCGAAAATTTTCAGTGGTAAGCAGCCTTTTGCATTTTGGCTTTATTTTTTGCAATTAATGGAAGTACCAAGTAGTACCACTCGAAGATGAAGATTACAGTTAGAATACAATTACATAAGAAAAAAACCTTGTTGGCTCAAGTAATTACTTAATCATTCGTTAAAAAGACCTCTTATTTTGGGCGTATGGGCGTAGGATTTAATTTTCATCCTTTTTTTCCCTCTCTCCCAAATAGCAGATGTTCAAAAAAAGAAAAAGAAAAAAAGAATACAATTACGTAAGGGTGGGAGGGCACCGACAGGGGCCACTAGGGTGATTTTGCCAGCAAGGGAAAATGACTATTGATCAGCTCATAGATGTGCAAGGTACTATCTTTTATTTACAATATCGTTTATATTCCTTACTTTGTGATACGCGTGATTGTGATTTGAGTTTATTTTTTCCGTTGCCAACCATTTTTGGTATTAATACCATGAATAGATATATATTTATAGAAATTAGTATATATTAATCTTAATTTTTTAAAAAATTTAAGTCTTAATTAATATTTAAAAATTAAAATATTAATTTAAAATTTAAAAATTTATTTTATTAAATATTAATACTTATATTTAAAAATT